CCCTAAAAACCTCTCTCAAAGAGGTACAGAATTTCAGAAATGGTGCAGCCTTTCCAATGGTATTTGTGCGTTACAGAAAGCTTTGTATTTCGTTTTGCTACAAGGAAACTCTCTCGCACGTTCCGCTACTATGAAAAACCATTTTAATTACGAACGCCCCCGTGTGTTTATATCACGGGACGGTGTTTAAGCCACCTTTTGAAAGGACTTATATAGAATCCCCACTTAAATCTCAGCTCCGTGTTCGCTTTAAAATGGAAATTCAGGATAATGCGCGGATGAGAACGGCTTATTCGACAGCACCCTGGTAAAAAGTTAAATAAGGAAAACCAAAAGAATATTATTTCAATTACCTTTGAAAGCTTTGGTTGGTGTAATTGTAGAAGATTGAGCAGTTCTCCTCGCCCCACAAATTTTGTACGTCCATGTTATTTTTTAGACGGAACATTTTTTGGCGCAAATTCATGCCCATACTTACTGTGAAATTAGGGTGTACCCCTAAGGCCAATTATTTCGAGAAGGACGAACTAAGATTAGCATAACATAATTATTTAATTAAGAAAAACACGAAGAGAGAAAAAAAGTACCTATCCAAAGCGAGTATAGTCCGGGCAAAACAAAAGCTAACCACGGCTAATGAGAGCTCGTTAAGATAATAATTTCCTCGTGGAAGGGAATTTCTGTATAATAAATCATTTGGTTTTTACGAATCTTTGCGTTGTCATACTTTGTGAAGTATATCGTGGTTATAATCATTCAGTACTATTAGGATTCATTAGCTTTGTCAGAATTTTGATTTATGTCCAAAGATTAGTGCAATTAACGACCATTCCGACTCCAAACTAACAAGATAAAAATCTCTAACTTCTTATTTCTGAAGTCCTTAATCATTCTAATTTTGGTCCGCCGTTCATGAATTTAGTTTAACTGGCATTTTCATGTTACTTTACTTTAGCAAAATTATTATCTTCGTCTATACAAAAATACACTTTAAACACTCCACAATCAGTTGTGATTATTACAGTGCGGAAAAGCCAAGCTAAGGCACGACGAGTCGGCTCGACGAGAGTGATACCAAGACCTCACAGAAAACTAAGGTGAAACTACTGCGTTGTGTTTCGTCGTGTGAATGTGGTTACCAGAGGCCCACTCCTTTCCCTCCCCCAATCCCTAAATACCGCAAACTCTAATTCCCGAAAAGCAGGCAACGCACTCGTAACTCCTAGATTGCTGCGAGTATTGCTTTGTCAGTAGCCGATTGATTACCACCATCCGTAATCCGTCATCTATTTTGCCGACATAATGCAATCGAATTCTGAGTATTATTACAAAACTTTTTTCCAAGAATTTTCGATTTTTCTTAATAAATTACGCATTTGAATGCAGTAATATACGTAATAAATAAATGCAGACCCGCACAAAAAACATCGTGCATCTCAGTAGGATTTTTATTTGGATAATTTTGGTCTCAAATTATTCGTGGAAGTCCAGGAAAGGTTTAAAAGGTCGAGCCGGTACAGAGATCGCCGGCTCAGCTAGTCACATAAAAACAATATTTCTTCAGACAGTAACCTACGAGCTCTCTGCGATATACATAGACGTATTTCTGACTTGAAAATAAAAACAACCATAACAATTTGACTTTTTTTATACACTTACATACATATAATATGTATATACTCAATGTGCTTTCAATTTCCTTCCGAAAAATGCATACCATTTAACATTCTGACGCGAATATCCGCACATAAATCGAATAACGTCGATCCGTCAGTTCGTCAAGCATTTAGCGTCGATACGTCGATACTGCGAATAAACTACATTCATATTTAAATGTATTCAACATTCTTTATTATTCATCCAACGAAGACTTTCCGGTACAAGGAATCGCTTTTTCCCAACCATTATTGTACTAGAATGCGTCGGGAGATAAATCTTTTTCAAGTTTAATGCAAAAATTGTGTTTATGCGTCAGAGTAGAATAAGTTAAGGTTCTTCATTCTTATGTAATATATTCATTTTAACAAGTCTCCTCGTATTACTCTTGTATGAATTGACTTACGACGGAACACCAGCTAATGGACTCAACCCGTTTCTTGCGAAAGGTTGTGTATTCGAATGGATGCGAAATATGATGGAGAATGTTATAACGGAAATGCATTATTTTCTGCGAACTTTTTGAATAGGGTTGTGTTTTCCTATTTCTTCTTTTTTAATAGGAAATTCTCATCTCATTTTTATTTATAAAAATAATCGAATCTGAAAAGGCGAAATCTAATTCATAATTTAAATTGTAAACCCCAAAATAGTTAACAAACAATTAAAGTAACTGACCTGAAAATCTCTGCTATAATTATTTCCAAGAAATTAGACCGGAAAATAGAGAAACAGGCAACCCTAATGGACCTTAAGGGTCTCATCTTAACAACTTAACATATTGTAGGATTCCAAGACAAGTAGTGAGATAGTTTTGTCTTTACAAGATGGCTATAATCCTAAGTCCCTTTGCACAAAGCCCAGTTACGTATAACCTCTTTGGAGGCTTTGTGGGTTTCTGAGCAATCAATCTCTTTCCATTCTGACGGCACAGGTGTCAAGGTTACTCATGAACTGTTGCTTCTTTTATATTGACGTTGTAGTTAAATAGAGTATTTAGTTTTTACTTGTTATGTCGACACATCAAGTAATGTCAGAAGAGTTTTTTTTTCAAAACCAAAATTGTGTAAATTCTAGTTGAATCCAGATTTGATATTTAAGCAATGTTTATTTTTGCTTTTAGATAACCATAATTAACCTTTCGTATGTCTTAAACGTGGATCCACGCGAGACACAATGTATTTTCTATTGTGTCTTATAAACCGTCATTCAACGGGTTAAGGGTATTTGTAATTTTAAGTTTGAAGTGTTTAAACTCTTAATTCTTATGTCAAATGTCTATTAAGAAGTCGACCATTATCGTCAGAATGGAAATGACCATCGGTCGTTTTCTGTGAGGCCGTGGTATCACTCGGGTCGAGCCGACCCATTCGTGCCAAAGTATGGCTCTACCATACTTAAACTGCTATAGTTTTACGGCAGCATTAGAACTTATTCATCAATCATGGCTTTAGTTTGCGTATGTACGAAGAATATAGGGGTAATATTTTATTCGCTCGTTAAGCAAACATTTTTTCAATGAAAAATATTGCGCGAGCACGAACTATGAATATGGTTATAACAACCATTTGTTAGAAATATCGGAATTATTTACAAAACGTGATTTATTATAGAATGCTCTGGGATTTACAGAACTAAATATTATCTAGATTTTTAAACAGACTATAAATATTCGAACGCTGTGTTTTAATCAAAAAATTTCTTTTGTTGATTGAGTTTTCTAGCTGCTGGAATTACAGGATTCTTTCCACGGACTGAACAAGATCTGTTTGATTTCAAATCCTTAGCCATTTATTTTGAATTTTATTGGCTACTTTGTTAGGTATGATATAAGGGTAGGACGATACAAAAACCTGAAAAATTAATACACGTATAAGCTTCACATTTTTCAAAGATACTTAATTAATTCATATCAAAATACATCAAAGTTCTACAATTTCTTAAAATAATATGACATTTACATTTACAAATATTTCCTTAATGTTATCAAAGACTTACTTACTTACTTAAACTTTTATGAATACACTTTATAAATATGTATACAGCTAAAAGCTTCAGTATGAATAATCTCACGTTACATGAATGTCATGAGTTCATTTTAATGATAGATGTGCCTTATAGCTCTTGATTACGTCCAAATGTCCAAAAGAGCACCATTGTACTATATTTTTGTAGCCAACAAAATAGAGGCATAAATCAAAAACGTTCCAAGACCGAATTTGAAATTTTTTACTCACTACAAAAATGGCGACGGTAAAAAATATTAGTTTCACTAATGCTTGGTTGAGTTTTTGAAGTAAAAACGATATATAATTTGAAGTGTTGTAAAATGAGCGTTTCTAATATAAAAAGTGTTTGAAAAAGTTATTTTTTTGTTTAACGACAAAAGGTCAAGGTGAAATAAATACCTAACAAGAGTATACTTGGATCATGTATTCGACGATAAAGTAAAAAATATTAGAGAAACAAAATGATTTCACGAGTTTACATTAAAATTATTTTGATTATTAAAGATCGGAATCCCAATAACAAAAGGTACAATGTTACATAAATGAAATTGCTTTAATTAAAACAATTTCGATGAAACGGTAGCCCATAAATAATTCAAGGATTTGAACAATTTGGAAAATATTTTACAAAATTGCTCTAGCATTCGGTAATTAGTTTGACATCAATCAAAATGGATTAAAGATTTTATCGGTGTTCAATTCCATCGATACAGTTTAAAATAATGATCGTAAAATATTAGACATTTTCTCTATTTGTATTTCGTTTGTTACCAAATATTGTTGTTGAAAATGTTACCTCAATCTAAGATTAGTGCGAATAGAAATTCGAAGGTAACGCCAATCGAAATTCGGCCTAAACGAAATAATTTTGTTCCGAAGAGGCTTGTTTCGTCGATCCAAGCAATAAAGTACCAAATATGTGCTGCATTACTGTTTGGGATCAACAGATTATACCTCCTAAATCCCAACAGATTTGTTCTAATCTTGAGTTTGGCCCATACAATTTTCATGCCGATTTTGGTCTGGGGTATTATGTTTAATGCTGACGAATTATCCGCTACGTACTTCGTGTTCAAGTATACGTGCTGTGTTGAATATATTTTGCTCATAACTATTTCTTTATTCACAAGCAGAAATAAATTGAGGAGTCTTTTTCGGGATCTTGATAAGTTTGATGAGATGTTGAACATTAGTAAAGACTTGAACGTCGTTGATTCTGGTTATGCGAGTTTGTTCTGGTTGTCTGGTTGTCTATTTTACAGTTTGTGTGAATACATTGGTTGTTATTTCTATCTGTCGTTCTTCATTGACAGAACGGTCTACTGCTTTTATATAATGATGCTGAGCCACGATTGCGAGCAGATCTTGTTCTTCGTTCTCTTGAGAACCATTTACGCCAGACTTTCCATTATAAAAGCCCACGTTTTGAAGGTGTTTTCTGCGGAAACCAGAACGGATAGTTATAGAAGGAAGTTGAATAAAGTTGAAGCGCTGTCGAACAATGCACAGCTTGATATTAGTTCTTTGCACCGGGTCTACGATTTGCTTCACAAGTGTGCCGAACAACTTAACTCCATTATGAGTTTGTCGGTAAGTTTTACCAAGAATTATTTGCTAATTGGAATTTGAAATACATATTTTTAATAGTTTTTTAATTGAATCACAAAGTTAGTATATAATATAAATTATATTATTTTCAGATGATAGTAATTCTGTTAACTGCGGGATTGTCAACGACAATGCTTTTGAAAATGATGGTTAAAGTTATACAAACAGTTACCGTCAGCAATACTGTAAGTAAAACCTATCTGCATAGATTTTTAATATACTACAATTTCGAAATGATTCTATATTATATTCTATAATAAGCTTTACAACAAATTAATTTCTAATCTTGACAGTATTGTTCGGCTTCTTTGCATGTCATAATAATTCAAGAGAAAAAAATTTTAAAATACCTATCCTAAATAAAAAAAATCTTAGTAGACACTCAAAATACAATTACATACAGACACAAAAATAACGAATACAAATATCTAACACGCATTATTTATTCATATAATAGAGAACAAACTCAGTGATAACTACCAGACAAAGTGAAAGGTTTGGAGTCAATATTTGTTCTTAAATCCGCTAAGGGATAATCCCTGGAGCAGTGGTTTTCATGATAAACATAGCTCCCCACAGCTATGATCATCATTCCAAAATAAAAGACGAAGCGATGTTCGGTGGCGACCTTTTAACATGATCTAGGTCAGTAGAAGGCTTGGCAACAGTACTAATAAACGATAGCAAATATAGGGCGTTATTTTTGTCCCCTATATTGGATGCTATGTGCAGTGTAAACTTGTGTATACAGCTATACGTTATAGAGGTTAGATACCTCTATTATAATATGTGGATAGAATTATTTGTGTCTTTTTGGTAGTAATAATGTTAGGTGTATGCCGTTTTGTTAATACGAATGTACATTCTATATGATTAGTGACGTAATCCTTAGCGAGTACAATGTGAAACAAAAATAAATAATTTGAAATTAGAATAAAAATACAAAATATTCGTTAGTGTTGGTATTTTTGTACTTGGGATTTAAACTTGAATTCTTACTTATTTTCTTCACTTTCCATTATAAATGTTTTGGTTCAATGGCTTTTTTATTATATTATATGATAGGCAGACGAGCTCACCTAATAATGGTAAGCAATATTAACGCCGCCTATGAACACTTATAACAAAGGAGAAGTTACGAGTGCGTTACCGACGTTTTGGGGAGTAGAATTTTGGAAATTTAGAGATTGGGGAGGGACTGAAGGAGGGAAAGGATTGGACTTTCGTTAATCTCACACACACGGCGAAACACAAAGCTGTAGTATTTACAGGTTTTCTTAAAGCCGGGTTATCACTCCGGTCGAGCTAACCCGTGCCGAAGTATGTCTCTACCACACTTAAATCATAACATCCTAAGCATATCCAAAACACCAACCAATACAAAATAGTTAAAAGTATGATTTTTTACCTTTAGACTTCATTCTCTTCAAACATTTCATTCTCTTTAACGCGTTTGGACATTACATAAAGATTCTGTTTCCAGTTCGGCAAGTCAACGATCATATATCTGTTTGGTCGTGGTATGAAGTACACAGGTCTGGTGGTGGTCCCTTGCTACTACTCAAGAGTGACTTCAGCTCAGGTCGCTACTATACGGACGTGTCTACATGATGCTGTGAATTCCAAACCTTTAGGTAAGGCAAAAACAGTTATACCTAAATATTTCTTTATTGAATTAAATAAAGATTTACTAAAAGAGAATTTTTATTTTAAGAATTTATTAAATATTAAGTTAATTTCTAGTATACTTCAAATATATTATGTAAAGTATAGTTCAGGGATAAATAGGTCTTTGCCATACTTCGTGGCAAGGTAAATAATGAGACTGTAGATGGTTAAGGTCTGTTTATTACTTTAATTGCTGGTGCTTATATACTAAGAAGATGCGTGAGATTTTCAGATTTAGCTATCCTAACAAACGTGCAACAATTAACATGTATGTCTTATCTCTATCGTATCTAAGTAATGTAGCGACGTGATAGAGCCGCTACATATACTCCCCCCTTTTAAAAATAATTAACATATAAATTGAAAAAAATTAGTATGTACCTAATTATATAATAACTTAACCTTGCTGATAAATTACATCCTATGCGTAATGTAATGTCATTGTTGCTAATTCGAAGGAAATAAAAACTGCTGCCTTTCGAATATCAATTTTGGAAAAGATTTGCTTCCCTTCTAGTATGTAAGTGAAATCAGTTAGTCGTGGAAGTGGATATTTGTCCGGTACAGTCACGCTATTGAGCATCCTATAATCTCCACATGGTCTCCATTCACCGTTCTTTTTCTTAACCATGTGCAAAGGACTAGCCCATGGGCTGTCCGAAGGGCGACAAATGCCAAGCTCCATCATAGTCTGAAATTCTTTCTTTGCTATATGATATTTATCAGGAGGTAATGGTCTTGCACGTGCTGATACCGGTGGTCCTTTAGTGATAATATGATGCTTAATCTTGTGTTTTGGAGTAGTGTGGAGGGAGGCTGGTTTCGTAATATCCTCGTATTCATTTAATAGTTGAGTAATGCGTGGATTCGTCTCAATGTTAATAGTGCGGATTGTTTGCTGCGTCGATTTGATCAGGGTTGCGGGCGTTGTCAGCTCAGTTACCCTATCTATGAGTTTTCGACCAGCTATATCGACTAATAGCTTATAATGCTCTAAAAAATCTGCTCCAATAATCGGTTGTGTTACATCGGCGATGACAAAGTTCCATACAAAGTTTCTTCGTAGCCCGAAGTTTAAAGAGAGTGTTTTTTCACCATATGTCTTAATTTTTGTACCATTGGCGGCATAAAGTATACATTGTTCATCTTGTATTAGTGAATGTCTCTGTGGCTTGCTAATAACTGAAATATTTGCTCCCGTGTCAATCAAAAATCTCATACCACTTTTTCGGTCGGTAATAGTGAGGCGGTTGGACGGGTGAATAGCACAGAGTTCCGCCGTTGTCCGTGCTTCAATTAGTTTCCCTGTTTCCTTGAGTTGAGATCCTGTTTCCAATCACAAGGTTGAACACACTTTTGTGCATATTTTTTAAATCTTCCATGGTAAAAACAAAAGTGCCTTCTTTCTCTTGAACTTGACTGTGGTAGGAAATGCCGACGATTGGAATAACTTTGAGTGCTGCGTCGATAGTTTTTTTGACCTTGCTGAATTGCATTTAGTTCCAATTGCATTTCTGCTAACTGTGCTAGTATGCATGACATTGTATCGTCGCCAGATTTGTTTCCGTTTACAGCTGACACCTCTGTACGTGTTGAATTTATTAATATCTTGTCCGCGATCTGGCTCATCTTGTTCACATCTATGTCTTCTGTGACTGCTAGAACCGAAGTCACTGATGGTGGCAGAAGCCTCAACCATAGAAGTTTGATGGTTTCGTCGCTGATATTTCCGTTACTCAGGGTCCGCATCTTGCGCAGAAGATGTGATGGTTTCTGGTCGCCGAGATCCATTTCAGACAATAATTTTTGGAGCTGACGTTGGTCTGATTCCTCATAGCAACTGATTAGGCGTTCCTTGATAGCCTTGTACTTTTCTATTGGCGGTGGGCAAGTAATGAGGTCACTAACCTGTATTATTTCTTCTTTTGGCAGTTTTGCAATGACCGTATAGTACTTGTAATCGTCTCCTTGCTTCTGTGGTGCTACTATGGCTTCTAGTTGCTTAAACCATAATCTGGGTTGGTCCCTCCAAAATTCCGGAATATCTCCAAGGCTTCTTGTTGGCTGCTGCTTGATTTGCAGGGTGAATGAGTCATGTTGATTGTTCTTCGTCGGGTCACCAATTTGCCATACTTCGTGGCAAGGTAAATAATGAGACTGTAGATGGTTAAGGTCTGTTTATTACTTTAATTGCTGGTGCTTATATACTAAGAAGATGCGTGAGATTTTCAGATTTAGCTATCCTAACAAACGTGCAACAATTAACATGTATGTCTTATCTCTATCGTATCTAAGTAATGTAGCGACGTGATAGTGCCGCTACAGGTCGCCTCCAATCAGCAGAGCTGAAAATCAGTGGGGGATGATGTTCAAAAGTTGACGCCTCTTAACTCACGTTACTAATAATAAATAGTTAATCTAATACCATAACTGCTCCTTGTTTTCATAAAAAACATTCTCCAACTTTTAGAAGACACACCTATGCATAATACTTCAACTCTGAAGTACTTCACAGTCGACTGAAATTTTTCTGTACCTACGTAAGTAAATTGGTAAAGCCTCCATATTTCCACAAATCATTGAAGTCATTTCTTTTCAGATAAAATCGAGCGTCGTAAAGTAAAAGCCTTCTTTCAGCTGACACGAGAAAATGAATTCACTTACGCCCTAGGAGGAGTGATTAGACTCAATATGTCTTTGCCTCTCAGCTACATGAGCCTGTGTACAACTTACCTAGTTATATCTATACAATTTTCCAAGTTTTTCGATTAAATATAATGTAAATAAAGTTTAAAGTTAGGAATGTAGAATAAGGACCTTTTTGGTGTTTTTTTTTTTTTGAAAGCCAGTTCCCCTAAACTTATGGCCTTTTGTTTTGGTTGTTTACGAGGTAAGTAAAAATTAATAACGTTTTTTTTAAATTTTATGATAATTTCGATCTTTTAACAAATAAACGCTTGGGTTGTTGCTTTATCATAAGTTACAGAAAGAGAAAAAAATCATGTAGTCGTTAACATGAATAATTAAAATGAAACAGGAATTACAGTTCTTTTTTTACTTTTAATTTAGGTATCTGAAACAAAAAGCCGGGAAGCTAAATACTTTCATTATAATTAACTGAAGAGTTATTAGCATTCCAATGATACGTTAATTACTAAAGTAACTCAGTAGCAATTAGTTCGGATGTCACCCGTCGCACGTCCCACTCAAATATTTAGTTAGTCCGAGCTCGTTTTTAAAACGAAAGCGTCATTAAGAACGCTGTTGACTGTTATGAAGGGTCGAATAGCCTTACAAATTGCATGAAACACGTTCCCTCTTGATTAACTTTCACAAGTACCCGCACTTGGAATGCTAATAAAATAAAATTGGCTACCATCGATACAGTTTCCACTGAAAACTAAAAATGTTTTTAAACCCATAAAATGTAAGGGTTTAACCGCTTGCGTTAGGGTGATAGGCATCGCAGCTATCGAAACCGTTTTCGCTCATCACATTCGATTGACGAGAATGTGGCGTCGCGAATTTTCGATTTTCGTCTACGAATTTTCGTTAACCTGCGCCATAATCGTTGGGAGTCGAGAGATTCGATATAGGGAACGAATAGCTTTCAAGGCAGGGGAAAAAATTAGTGAGATAACATTCAGCTTTATTGCCCGCCGTCCGTCTCCGCCAAAATTCAGGGGTGACGTGAATGGCCCAAGAGACTTGCTTTTTTATCGCCCGGAGTGGGCAACTTGAACACTGAAAGGGTTTTTTTGGCAACAACAAAATATTATTTAACCCTTGAAAGAGTTGGGCCGGGCCGTATTAGGAGTGTTTTGTACAAAATATGTAAGAGAAGTTTATCTATTTATATTTCTCTGTAAAGGTTATTTTAAGATCGTATTTGGTACTAAACAAATGTTATTTTGATAATAGAATACAAAGCATTATTGCTAAGTAAATTATTGTCTGTGCATGAGAGGCTTCAAGAGCTACCTGTGTCTCGCGCTAAATATATTTCACCTTACCTGAGTTTATTTATTGAACCTGAGTTAAATTATTAAATTTGTTTAATTTTGTATACCCACCCACATTATTACTAACTTGACAATTTTAGTTTCAACAAAAATATTTTAACATAAATTTTTAATAAAAGTGTGGGAGAGCCACGCTTTTGCACGAATGGGTTGACTGGACCGGAGTGATACCACAGCCGCACAGAAAACCGTCGTGAAACAACCAAGTTACCGGAGGCCCAATCCTTCCCCTCCCCCAATCCCGCCCCACAATCCCTAAATCTCCAAAACCCTAATCCCGAAAAGGTTGGCAACGTACTCGGAACTCCTCTGTTGCGGCTGTACATGGACGGCGCTGATTGCTTACCATCAAGTAATCCGTCTGTTCATTTACCGACTACTACCGATACTTATTACCTAAAAAAACAAAAATACTTATAAGTTTAATGATACCTTATTTAGAGCTGACAAAATACAAATTGTCAAATGGAATGTATTTTTAATACTTTTGTTTCAGTTAAAAGTATGTACAAAAGAAATTAAATGAAAATTGAGGATTTTCTCTCCCAATGTTTAAACTCATCGAGACAGGTTACATCTTTCAAATAAATTGTTCTGCGGTTTTCAATACTTCTGTACGACATATGCATTAGAAACAGATAAAGGGTAATACGAATGTTTACAGCCTTATAAAATGTTAAAGATTCGGCTACAGCTGGATTCGAATACTTTCAACCCTATTGCTTATAAAAACATAATATCTTGATCTTGCTGTCTCCAGTAATATAAATGCGTCTCCAATAATAGAAATAATCAATATTTATTTTATTTCTATAGTCGTGTTGATCCGTTATAAGTTCTGATTATGTTTTTGTCCCTGCGACATTTTGAGTGCAATGAAGATATAGGAAAGGGCACTCAATGCGGTGTCATGACTACACA